TTAATAATTTTAAAAGCTATTTTGCAAAACAGAATGCCTGTATTGTATAAAATTCTTTGCAACATTTTGAGCAGCACAATTCTTTTCCATCTATACATTTTCAGAATATTTTAAAATCTAGGACCTAAATATAATGATGCATAATGTTTCTAAAAATAATCTCCCAGTTTAGATAGGGAATGCAGTTCTAGGTCAGTTAATCTAAAATGATTTAAACTGGAACAATTCTGTATAAAAATAAAACTAGAATGTAAAGAGTAAAAAAAAATATTCTCAGCATTCTTGCTAGAAGTAGAAGAAAACTGCCTGAAGTATAAAAAAGAAAAGAGGATTATGAATTCTTTCTCTGTTCAACCAGCAGATGTCATGTTTGTTTGTCAGAGCCTGAGAGTATTTTAAGATATTTTCTTCGTATTATTGTGTACTTCTTACAAATAAGAGTACATAAGCATTAAATACAATTGCCTTTGAAATTAGAAAGGAAAATTAAACCTGTGCTTTTTAAATTATAATATATTTCTCAACTGAAATTAGAACTCGTCATTCATTTTTAAATTTTTGTTCAAAGAAAATTTAGTACAAAATATGCCCTGAGATGCAAGCAAGCATATATATACTACTCAAAATTATTCCTGATCAGTATTTATTACTAACCAATACTGTCTATGCATCATATAATTGTTTTTCCCCTTTAATCCTAAAGCAGTATAATTACCTAACAAGAAATAAAACTTTCTCTATTTTTTAACATTCATGAACAAAATTAAGATTCTAGCAGATTCTTACTGTATTTGATTATTTATTTTATCATCTTCCATATCATTACCATCTCCACTGTATCCATAACTTTGTCTATGAGACATTTGATTAATCTGTAAGTATTTCTAACATGATTTGCCATAAAGATTTTTACATATGATTCACCCAGTGCAGATAAAAAAGTATATCAGAAAGACTTTTTAATAGTCTACAATTAAAGATAATCTTGAAATTTTATAGTAAAATCACATCAATTTGGAATATTTACATGAGGGTTAGATTTGAGCTTAATTTCATCACTACCTTGAATATCAGTTTTCATAAACAAAATAATATTTCATTATTCACAAGATTTAGGAGCATCTTTTTTAACTCAAGGTCAGACCATTAATCACTTTAAAATTGTTCATTTAAGATAAAGAATCTTCCTAGACTTAAAGTAATTTGTATTTCTGTCATGTAGCCCATCATCCACTGGTAGTCAACTAAATACTCCACAAGGATATAGACTTGCCAAAAGCTCAGAATCTGATTTCTTGTCTTCATCCCATCTTCCTTCACTCCAGCCTCCTATATGACCCATTTTAGTCTTGGCCCAGAGAAATCAGCTGTTGGAGAAAGCATGCAGCTGCTAGCTTCAGAGGAGGAAAAGCCCAAAGAGATATTTCTATGACTAGAATTAATTATGATTTCTTTTCTTACACATACTTGGAGATAATCTCAGGAAAGAAATTTTAGCCTTTTTTAGGCATTTCAAAACGTATGGTCTGCATCCTCTTGCATCAGAATAGAATAACCTCAAGTATTTATAATATATCTGGATTTCTGGGCCCTGCCTTACAAATGAATGTGTATTCATGCATACTAAATTTGTTGAAACATTATTCTTTAAAAAAATATGGCCTTTCAAGAGTAATACTTTCATGAAGTTATGAGATAATTTATAAATAATAGTTCCTCCATATTTAAGCCATATGTAATCTAAAATTAATTAAGGAATCAAATTCAACTTGATAGTAGGCAAACATGTCATCACACCCTGCAAATTTAAGAATAAAAGGTACCTTAGTGCCTGTCTCTGGTGGGCAAATATTCATATCAGTCCTGCTAAATGGCTGTTTAAGTATTGACTAAATACTTCTACTGAAGGGAAATTCATGATCTACTCAGATAGGCAATTCCTTATTCAAAATCATTTCTAAGTCAAAATATGCATCCTTCTAATAGGAAATCACTAGTATTCATCTTATTTTATAACTATTCACATTTAGTCTGAATTTCTTCCTTTGATAGATTTTCAACTATTGAATAACTATTGAATATATTTTAAGAATATATTCAAGTGTATGAACTTCAAGTTTCCTTAAAATCTAAATGAAAGCTATCTGAAAAGTCTGAGAACAAAATTTATCTGTTAGGGAGATTTGTTTTCTTTCTTTGCTAACCGTACCTAATTCTGACTCTGTGCTCTCCTTGCTTTTCTTTGAATACAATATTCATTTTGTTAAGAAAGTGCTACAGTAGAACTGAGTCTAATATCCATGTGTTTCTCGTTGGCTACATAATAAAAACAACTTCCATCCCTATTAAAAAGCATAGTTATGTACTAATGACCTAATGAAAACTATTGCTATAAATAAATGTGGGCATTTGGACAAGGAGCCACTCTGCCACCTTCCCTACCTCTGCACCTTGCCTCTGTCTCCTCTTTATTATTATTCTTTACACAACAACACTGGGCTCACCTCTGCAGTACTCTAAATACTGCTCTATAGCAAAAACAGGCTAGGTTTATATTACTCCCCTAACCTGCTCATTAATTCATCTGCAGGTACTGGCATTGATTTTGTTGTTGCTGTTTGCAGAACTGAGCATGGAACCCAGGGCCTCACACATGCTAGGCATGTGCTCTGTCACTGAGCTGTACCCTCAGCCCTGGTTACTTATATCAAACCCTGAAGTTCTTTACCTCATAGGCTAATAAATTCACTTCCCTGATACCATTTTGAGAAATTTGGTTTCAAATGCAAGTTGTCACAAACATTTGGGGATTCTAGTGTCTTCACTTATTGTTTTCCTCTTCTCTAGACTTTGACCTTAAGTATTATGAATATGAACTTGTGTTATCATTTAGTAATAAGTAAAAATATCATGCAAGATAAAAAGAAAATAAAATAAGTATGACAACTCTTTTCTAGAAATCTCCTATGCAGGATGCTTTGTATATGATCCATTTTCAATTAAGTTATTCACAGATCATTTTTTTAAAATGCACACAATGTTGATGTAGGAGACTTTGCCAAGTGTTACTAAACTTCAGATATTTAATTCAATGTATTTAATTGTACTAGTAAGCCTGCCAAACATTAAATTCCATTCATCTGACATCATTGGTGAAACGTGTTTTATCTTAAAACTATCCTTTATCTTCAGGGGTGATAGAGACTATTATTTCCATTCTTAGTGTTCAAAATTTATCCTCTAATCATCTGTTATACATTTTTCTGGATCACCTTTTCCACAACCCTTAGGTGATAATGATTGATGATGAGGAAATGTACCAAATCGTGTATGAGAATGTTCTGCACACAGTTAGAACCCATGTAAATATTTTATGTTTAATCTAGAAAAGAAAAATAAGAAAGGAGGTTTAATGAGTGATGATAAGTGTACAATTTATTTTTTTCCAGCAACAATTGCAAAGAATCTCAAAGCTATCTGAAAAGTCTGAGAACATGTGACCAATTTCCAGGAGAAATAAAGCCAGGCCTCCTCAATCCCTGTATGGGGCAGAATAGTTGGCACTAGTAGGCTCAAAGTATTGCTGGGTTATTAAATAAATGTATTGTTGGTAATAAAATAGTCTATGTTTCAGGATATCAGAAAATTGGATCTATAATTCCAAATGGTCTGCATAACTTTTATTTTGGCAATGGGGAAAAAATAAAGTGATATGGTTTTTGTTTGCTATATCCACTTTCAAGTGTATGGACTTCAAGTTTCCTTAAAATCTAAATAAAAGTCTCTTCCATATTAACCAAAATTCCTTTGTTGTTGTTAAATTATTGTCTTTTCAATTAAATAACATAAATAAAGTCTCCAAAGAATAATGATATTTATTTTAGAATTGCCAGTATTGCAATGGGAATACACTCCATAATAAATTGTAAGTGAATTCAAAGAGGTTGAGGCAAGGTAATTTTTTGAAGGCAAAATGAAGGGGAGTGCGTAAGATATCTTGAAATAAGAATACTTGGCTAGAAGGATCAATATCAAGGGTTGAATCAGGTCACAAAAAACAGACAGCTGTGGGGCAGACATACTTACAGAAGTATTTTCTATGTAAGGTTACAGTGGTCTTTGTGCACGATTGTAATTTTGAAAGTCTTTTTATGAAGACTATTTTTAGGAATTCAGGTATAAGATACTCTCTTTCATAAGCTTCTAGTCACTTTATTTATTTGGGGGCCAGGGCTTGACAGAAGTGTCTCCATTTGGATTCACAATTTTAAGTTCAGTGTATTGTACAAAGCCACAGATAACACAAACCCAGGTTTTTATTTTCACTAATTTTTAAATAAAGTTAACCACTTATTTTCTAATGTACTTGTTTGGACTTCCAGGATAGCAAATTTTTTGCTTTCTTCCTGTCCACTGGTTGTTCCACCAGAGGTCTTTGTGTGCCTCTGTTTTTTTCTTATAACTCTTAACCTTGAATAGCCCCAGTGCTTAGCCCTTGTCTTCTCACACTCCATTGGTGATCTCATATCCTTACCCCTTTTAATTTACTCTGTATTTATGCCCATGGTCAGCAATGTTCTAGCTCCAATCCTGACCACTCCTGTATTCCAGATGAATATCCTACTCCATACTGTATATCTCCATTTAAATCACTGGAATCATTGAAAAAGTATTTCCTGAACTTCTCTCCCCAATTAATCCTCCCATAGCTTTCCCTTGCAGTCAACAGAAATTTTATTCTTGGAATTGCTTAGGCCTAGAAACTTGGATCACCCTTGATCTTTCTCTTCTTCATAACAATGCTCATTCCATCAACCCTTCTTGAGTCTATTCTCCAACATATTATAAAATTGATTAGATATCAATATTATGAATTTTCAAATAGAAGAATTGTTTATAAAATGTGGAGTTGAAAGTAACACTTGAGCCAAAGATAATTTTGAGGATGTTGACAGTCTACTATGTCATCATTCACATTTGAGCACAATTTCTGTTTTCAGGAAAGGCCTATGCTCCAGAATTCTATTACGATACCTATAATCCTGTGTGGCAGAACAGACACCGTGTTTATTCCTACAGTCTGCAGTGGACACAAATGAACCCAGATGCAGTGGACCGCATTGTTGCATACCGGTTGGGTATTCGGCAGGTGAGAAATTTAAGTGGTGTCTTTTTTTTAAATTATCTCCTGTATAGACTTTGTTATTATATCTTTTCTAATCATGTCACATGAATTATAGAATATAATTTCTATAATTATAATTATAATATATCATATATGATATATATTATATCAAAGGTAATATGACTTTATATAACCTACTCTGAAGTACTTACAAATTTTTGAAATTAATGTGTGCTTTTTCCACCATGGTGGAAAACATATTAAAGTTATATCCTTTGAGTGTTTTGAACTCCTTTATCACTAGACATACTTGAGAAATTATATGGCATAATTGTCATGAAAGGAGCTTATATAGGGTGTGCGCACACTTCCCTAAACTTTGTAACCATTTGCCTTGGTTCCTATGAAGCGACAAGTCTTCCATATTTTTACTTGATGGGCTCAAGGTATATACGGAATGTTTTAAATATATAACTACTTTAGTAAAATGAGACAAAATAATAAAGTATGATGATTTCTTAAGATTAATGGGTTACATGGAAAAATTTTTATCTTTTCCAAATTAACCACTATTAAAGTCACTTATCGTTTGTGGTATAATGATATTTTGAAATTTAAAAATAGGTCTTTACATTGCTTGTTGCTAGACAGTGTATTATCTGGGTGACTATTTCAGGACAACAAAAAAATTTTGAAGATTTATCTGATTACCCCGATATCTATTAGTTTTCTTCCACAATTTCACATGTTGCAAATTTTCAGTGTGTGTTCCATTTCTTAGTTAAATCACAGAGTACATTTTTAGTTAGACCATTAGAAAGGACAAAAATTTTCTTGGAGAAAAAGCAATCAACATGTTTTATCTTAAAGCCATCCTTTCTCTATCTTCCTCACAAAATTTTAATAAAGAACCTTTTGAGATATATCATTCAAATTAAGACACATTATAAAGCAAATAGTCTCATCCTGCCAACTTAATAATCTCAAAAACATAAACTGGATTTTCCTAGTGAAAACATCTGGCACTTGATAATTACTGCTTTTTTGTCTAAGTGTTCTTAGGTCTCTGATCCAGCAGATCACAGTGGACCTTTTGGAATTTTTCTCTAATTGCCTATCCATCACTTACATTGGTCCTCGGGTACAATAGTAAATCCCAGATCCACATCAAAATAGTTTGTTCTACTTGTTCTTATTTGATGAGTTTTCTTGATAGGGAAGATAAAAAACAACAACAATACAATCAGTCTAACAGTTCTTTTCCCTCAGGTGATGGCATTATTTTTTTTTCTCTTCTCAGGACAGCTAGTACTGTAAAATCTTTTTTATTTGGAGCATCTTAGAGTATTCTTGAATTCACACCTCACACTGTTTTTTAAAATGCTTAATACATTGTTTGGTCATTCATGCTCATATTTTATCATACATCTTTTTTTTAAAATTAACCTATGGACCTAAAACCACAGCTTTTTAAGATGATACCCATCTGTTTTTGTAATATTCTGCAACAAGCCATGTCTTCTACTATTTTCTGCTATAGTCTATTTTGAATGGTAGAGTCAGAATTTTTTATTCAGTTTCTCATGTTCTTCCTCAGTTATTGTCTTTAAGTAACTTGTCATTAAAATCTAAAGAGGTACCTATTTAAAATCTATGGAATGTACCCAACTCTGCTCATCATTCTCATCATTTCCTCTTCCCTTCTCTCTCCCCAGTGCTTTTTTTCCTTCCTTCCTTCCTTCCTTCCTTCCTTCCTTCCTTCCTTCCTTCCTTCCTTCCTTCCTTCCTTCCTTCCTTCCTTCCTTCCTTCCTTTCTTTCTGAGACAGGGTTTCACTAGGTTGCTTAGGGTCCTACTAATATGCTGAGGCTGGCCTGGAACCTTCCTGTCTCAGCCTCCTGTGTGGTTAGGATTATGGCATGTGCCACCAAGCCCAGCTTATCATTTTCTCTCTTTAAAATGGTTGAAATCTTTGTTTTCACCAAATGTCTCTGTGGTGTATGCAATGCAGAATTGTTCTCTATCAGTCAAAGTTGGCAGAAAAGTAGTTACCAATGAAGTGTCTCCACCACCAAATTAGAAGATAGATTTTGGTAGAGTTGAATTCCTCCCAAGAGGGAGACAATTAATTAAGTCCCTTCTTTATTGTCCATAGTTTTTACCCAGTATTAGCAAACTGTCTTCTTTAAGGGGGGTTGAAGGTTAGGATTTTGGGGGAGAGGGAGATGGAGGTTAAGATTGCTATGCTATTTTCTAACAATTCTCTCTTAAAATGTTTCAATTCTGCCATGAATAGCTCAAAATTCCTGTGTTTACTTTTTTGAACATAAAATTAATATATAACTCTGATATTCAAGGATACATATTTCCCAGTGTGTTGTTATTTTTAAACAAGTCAATTATTGTTCTCCTATTCTGATTCTTTGTTATACATTATGCATGTATAATATGTGCATATAAAACCCTTTTCTATATTTTTTAAAATAATGAATTCCAAACCTACCTGGCTTACAAGTCTAGACAGTCTACCCTCATCATTACTTAGCTATATAACCATGAGATTGGTTCTACACATATGTAAACCTGAGTTCCTATCCTGTAAACTGAAGATCATGATACTCATCTAGCAATTGGAGTTGTTTTTGTAAAGTTCTGCAAATGTGAACAATAAGGTAATGTTTGTAGATATCATGTAAGAAAAAAAAACAGCATGAATATACACTTCTCTTTCTACTACGACCTTCGTTGTATTGTTGTATTCAGTCCTCACATCAGAAATTATTGCATGCAAAAATGGCCTCATTAAACAACATTTCTTTTGAATTTTGAATTACATATAAAATTTTAGAGTGATAAGGCAAATGCATTTCATATATAAATGTATATGATCCTTTTTAAAAAAGTTCCCTGCTTCATACAATAAGCAGAGGTATTACTCTGAATAAGTTCATTTTTCTGTATCATCTTAAAAATTTTAGATTCCTAATATTCATTTATGTACATTTAGTATCAAGGGCATGTGTCTTAGGATACAAGATAGCAGCATTTAAAAATCATTCTTAAATTATGTTCTGATTATCACTTTAATTTATATTTTGTCTTATATACAAATGGCCTTTTTTTATTCCCCAAGCTATCATAGAATCTTGAATCAATGAACTTTTTAACATAGTCAACATAACTTGAAACGTTATCCATAAACATGTTAAGAAAGTGGCCAAAGCAACATAAGTTTTTCCTTTTTCAAAACATTGATTTTCATCCAATAACTAGTGTTTATGTGTTTGGCTATCAGATCAAGGAATTATTAATTTATGTTATATATTTTATGATTTTTTTTCTTTTTTGCAGTGCCTGGGCCTCACTTATACTAGGCAAGCACTCTACCACAAATCCACAGCCCACACTAATTTTATGATTTTAAAGTTATATTATTTTAGGCCATTTACCTATATTAAGCCTATTGATCTAAATAATTTTTCCATCCATTAAATAACTATACTAACTATCAAAAAATCTCTTCCCTTTTAATATCAAACATGTTCTTAATTACACAATATATTTGTATATTAGTAGAAGTCTAAAAAAAGTTTGATCCTTAAAGAATAATGGAAAATTCATTTCTAAAGATCCTGTTTTGTTTTTAATCTATAAACCTTTATATCCTTATTACCTATTCTTAAATTGAATATGATTGTAGAATTATTGTGGTGTTGTTAAATCCTTGGCTGGATGAAGCTGGTAAGTTGAAATAAGCATTCTTTTCAGTTTCCTATTAATATTAGCTAACTATTTTTGTTGAACTATATGGCCTATTATTAAATGTAATGAGGAACATTGTCTCAGACTTTAAGTAGGCTTATTCATTTTATTAAGAATAATTTCAGTGTATCTAGGAAAAGGCACTGAAATTCTAGAATTATTGCTGTAAAAGACTTAAGAATAACAAATATATCACAAGAAGCCAAAAAATTAATTTGTAGAAAAAAGTTTCCCCAAAATATGAATGTTCTTAGGTTATATTTTTTAGGTTCAGCCAAGCAATTGTTGAATCTCCTTAGACAGCTACTAGCCTCCAATTATTTGCTTCATTTGTTGCTTAAGAGGAAAGAGAAAAAGGTTATTTGAATGTCTGCTTTCTTTGGTATCTAAGGAATTAAGAACAAAGCAAAGCTCTTCCTGAATTATCCAAATATACTGAATAACATAAACATAATTTTGATTCATTTAAAACACACTCAATTATAGTTTCTGCTACAAAAGAATTTTAGAGTTTTATGCAGTTCCCTTTTTTATTGTGACATAGAGAGGCACAATGACTCTGACTTTTTGACTGTCATCTTTGGAAAGAAGATTATTTTATTGACTACCTTAACAGCCCCCCTTCTGAATTTGTAAGTCATGATATATTAAAATGCTTGCAGTTAACATATTCATTTGCTTACCCATTCAGACAATAAAACTTTGGGTAAATTAATCATATGATAACTGTCTGAAATTAAAAAATGAAGTACTGTCCTCAGTGTCTGTTAAAATAAATAAGTTCTGCAATAGAAACACATAAAAAGTGCCATAGAAATAGATGTAGGAGCAGTTAGTGCAACCTGATAGTGGACTAAGAAACATGAGTACCAAGATAAGAAACAGTTGGTTTTACAGTTTTTTTTTTAAGTTTTCCTTTTAGACACTAACTATGAATAACCACTATCAATAACTCTTCAAAAATATGCATTTTGTCATAATTATTAGATAAATTAATTATAAAGTCATATTGTTCTACATCCACATGTAATCACTGAACTCTTCCTAATCTTTCCTACCAGTTAAAACATTTAAAAGTTATTTTAGTAAATTATTCATTTCCTACTTTTTTGTTAAAGGATTATTACTATAATAGATTTTGGTTATTTTTGTTAAAATTATTGTACATAATAGACAGTAAGCTTGATACTTGAAATAATCAGTATTCCTATGTACCTAGTTGAATACAATAACTGAAAAAGAGGGAGATTTTAAAGAGAATGT